TAGGTACACTAGGCGCGCCACGCGAGATTTCGAGGTGAAAAAAAAAAAAAAAAATCAGAGGTAGAGAATGAAATAACGAAATATATATAAAAAGTACATTTTCTCTCTAAACATTATTACCAATCACGACACAAGAGTGTGCCTCTCTTGAAATGATTTTCGAATAAACTTGGCAAGAATTCTCGAAATTGATATTCTCGGATGACAGTTTCTGCGCTCTCTCTCTCAAAATGGTTGACTTTGATGCAGAGAATATCGAGACGTTGAGGGAAGAGGGTGGAGCACTGAGAAGAGAGAGAGAGAGAGAGGGATGGCGAAAGATGTAGATGGGGGTTGTAATGGCAATTACCAGTGGTAATCAATGGACCTCGCTCAGGCCGTGCCGATAATTTCAGGGCTGGATGGAAAATAGGCACCCCTATGTGGCATAGCTGCGCATATATCTGAGGCTGCCCTCGCTTCACGCGTATCCACCGTTACCAACGATGGCCATTCAATTCTCTCTCTCTCTCTCTCTGTTGCAACCTCTGACGGCCAATTTAGTCGCGCTTTGTATCACCTTGAGTGTCGCCCTCGTGTTCAACCGCGACAGATTTAATCTGTTTATGATAAATTTAACAATAAAGCTGAGAAAGCTTCTTTAAGAGAGGATTAATTCGTAGATGTATTGCATATCGTACTTCCACTCGAGAGGGTATTCATCCGTTTAATTATATCACGGAAAAATAGGAATTCAAATAGGAATAGCGAATTCTGGGAACACTATATAATAAAATATAAAATCGATTTTCTCAAGGATCCCACTAAAAATCTCGCGAAAATGTAGCTTAATTCGATTTTATTCGATCGTTAATTTCGGATACGGAAAAAGAAAAAGGTTAACTTTGTATTCCAATTTTATACCAATTTTTTTCCTACCCATTCAATTCCACGAATATTTATACACGCATATATAACAACCCCATACTCGATCTACGATTAAACCAATCGATCGGAGGATAGACGTAATAAAATCCGCACGAGTATTTTTTAATTTCCAGTGTTTCCGATTTAAAGGTGGAATAATACTTGAGTTATTCGGGGTGGGTATCAAAAAAAAAAGAAAAGAAAAGAAAAAAGCGGTACGTATGCGTGTACACAGGTGGAGAAATTGCGGAGGAACGTCGGGGGTAGCGCCGCAATTTTAATCGAGTTAATTTCGAGCCGCCTCGTATATCCGTGGATCGTTCTCAGAAATCCGATTCTATTCCAAACGCGTGGACATCTCTCTCTCTCTCTCTCTCTCTCCTCTTTTTTTCTTTTTAACGCAGCAGAACGGGTTACAGGGGCGCAACAATCGTTACTCGCAGCGTCCACGAAATTGCGCGGAGGGGAAGATCGTAACGCGTTGTTACGGTGGAAAATTAGCACGAGCGACGAATGGAAACGTTTATTTCAGAAACCGCATTGCGTGCATCCGAGAAAATGCGGTTTGCCCGCTTTATCTCTTCCTTTTCTCCTTCCTTTTTTTCTTTTCCTCCTCCTCTCCACAGTTTACAGCCAGATTCGATCTCGATCAAAAACGATTCGTTGGGCGCCATTTTCGAAATTACGTTTCGAGGGAATTCGGTTGGAAACGAAATCGAAAGAAGGAAATTAAAAAAGAAGGGGCAACAAAATCGGGTTGAATTTTCAATACGCGGAATATAATGCAATGATTAAAAAATATGCCGAGGATTTATTTAATATGATCGAGATAGGAGACGGTTTATAGCCGGGACGCGATTGGAGTGCTCTATTTATTAGTTACATCGACGGGTATGAGGGATTAAACACTTTCCAGAATGATTCAGTTGCTCGACATTTAACGTGACAATTCTTCCTTTCGATTTTATTAATTGAATAAGGAAGAAGGAAGAGTGAAAGGGAGATAATTGAATTTTCCGCGCGATTCAAAGAATCCACCACCTCCTGAAAACCGCGCCATTAGCCCTGAGACGTTAAACTCGGTTGAACGGTGTAGAATATCGGTCGGGTCGATGGCTCGCATTACCATACGTTTCACGCTAGATTCGCGTGATGGAAGTCTTCGCGTCAATTGCCAGTTGCCTATTGAGAGAAACAGCATGCGGCGGATAGGAGCTAGCGCTATTAAGTCAGACAACTGGGAAGCGTGTTAAATTTCAAGGGAATGGCTCCCCGATAATAGTAATAGGCGAACGGTGTCAGAGGAACGTTATCGTAAGTGGCGAGGGGGAAAGAGAGAGACTCACGGTCGGACGGCCAAGCTTTAAGATCCGACGGAGTAGAAATTGGAGTAGATTCTCTCTCCGGCTTATCGACACGCAAGATATCCCTCCTCCTCCCTCTCCATCGCGGATCCTCGCTCCATTGATCTTCGGCTTTGATCAACCCCGTAAACGACCGGTTCTTCCGCTTCGCTTTTTAAATATTTAAGGACCTATCCCGATTAAATGGACGCCCGTCACGCTCCAATTAATCGGCCGCCACGAA